AAGTCGAACATAGCCAATATATATATATATATATATATATATATATATATATATATATAAAATACTTCAAATTAAATAATTTTTTTTATTATGAGGAATTTGAGTTAGGAAATATAATTCTGTTCTCGATTATTTATATATTCTTAGATGATCTATAATTAAACTTCTCATATAAAAGTTGTTGCAAATCATAATTAAAAATTGAACATGTGCTTATCAATTTACATATTTTATTTATGTGTTATCAACTTTGAAGGCAGTATTTCTTAGATGCATAGTTTGCATGTAAAAATATATTTCTTATAACTTCTGGGGAGGGCAACAACATGCTAAATAATATGAAACATAAGTTTCTATATTTATAAAAACTATAATTAATCATAATATATGTATGTTATGTTTGTGTGTATATATATATGTATGTGTGTATGTGTTGTGTATGTGTGTATCATACATTACCATTAATGAGATTTGAAATATTGCAATATAGTGTTTGAATTTATAATCTATAATTTTATATCTTGAAAAAACAAAATATTAATTGATATCATAATCTATTTTGTGCAATTAGAAATAAGGTTTGAAATAAATATAAAAAAATAAACTAAAAAAAAAAGAGATCTTGAATTGCTTGCCTTCATTTAGCATATTATCTCAAAAATTTGTCGAATCAGTCAAGATCGACCATAATATAACAAAAATTGCGCATTTTACATTTCTTGACATAGTAAAACTATTATAAACAAATGAATAATTGATACAAATCATTTCTTCAACACACCAGAATTGCAATCTATTCCTTCATCGCCTTTTATTTCCTGCATTAACCTAATCTTTGTTTCTTTTTTCTTCTCATGTTTATTCTTATCCTCTTTGTGCTCCTTTTTCTTGTCCCCATCTTTACTCTTAACAGGATCCTTATTACTAGAGGAACTAACTCTTGACTTGGAAGTTTCTTTGCTAGAATGATGACTGGAATCCTTTTTTTTATCATGTTTATTATGACTTGCATGTTCTTTTGTTTTATGTTTTTGTTTTTCACTATTGTCCTTTGCTTTACTGCCTGATTCGTCAGATTTAAGCTTATTAGAACTACTCCTGGACTTCTCCTGCAAATATTTTTTCTGTTTATCATCTTGTTTGTTTTTTTCACTTGCTAAAGACTGTTCATCTTTTGCTTTAATTTTTACCTCTATCTCAATTCCAGAAGATTTTGGATGGGAATGATTCTTTTCTGAAATGGATAATTCAGATTTCTCATCATCAATTTTGCTATTTGACAGTTTTCTCTTCTTGTTTTCTTTTATCGAGGAATTTGAGTTATCTACTTTTCTCTTTCTGTTATTATCTTCATTAATTTCAGCCATCTTGTCACTCATTTTTTTTGGATTATCATTGCCACTAGGATAATCATTTGTTGAACTGTGGGCTTCTTCTTTTAGGCTACTTTTACTGTTTTTTGATTCCTTAGACTTCTTTTCACTCTGTGAACGATGTTTGGAAGAGTGTCCACTTTTTTCATGCTTTTCCTCGGATTTTGACTTGGATGAATGTATTATATTGTGTTTTGTAGATGGCTCACTTTTGTTTTCCTTATACACATGTTTTAAGTTTGATGCTTGATCAGACAATGAGCTGTTCTCCCCTATATCTTCTAGCTTTGGTGATTCTTGGTTATCAGTGTAACTTTCGTGAACATCAGGTACACAAGTTTCATCCTCATCTTCTCCATCACTGCTATCTTCATCTGCTACCATTCTTTTCCATTTGTAAACTAAAGCCTTAGAAGCATCACCTACACTACCATCATATTTTCTGAAACTATTCACAGTCCTTCCTACTCCTGTCTCTTGAAGATGTTGTACTGTCACTGGCAGATTATATAGCTTGGAAATACAATGTAATATCTGAAAACAATTGTACATAAAAAAAAAAAAATTCTTTTTGAGCCATGTAAAATATAGTGAAATTTCAAAATCTTTTTTTCACGAAAATTGAAGACGATGTCTAATTATGAGAATATCAAACATATCATCAAAATTAACAACAGTAATAATTAAAAAGCGCTTTTTATATAGTGCAATTTTAAACAAGTTGTACTTCAAATTATTTCTTATGATATGATATGCTGAAGTTTTTAAAAAAGATGTAACAATGTAATAGCAATTTTTAGCGATCGAAAAGATAAGTTTTGTAGTAAAAGTGATATCGACGCGTTTTTTTTTTTTATATGGTCCACAGCTATGAGATGCCGAGGTTATAACGTCATGTACACCTAGTAACTATTTATATTAATTATTGGACAGCGAATATCTCGAAAACGTTATTTTATCATACGTACTCGAGCTTCGTTATCACCGCATTTCTCTAAATTCCGTTGATAATGACAAATTTTGTCCACAACAGACATATTGTGACTGATTACAGTTACCAGCTGCACAACCGCTCGCTCGCTACTCGCTGCTCGCTGCTAATATCGCTGGCAAAGAACTCGATTTCGATGCATGAAAGCATGAACGCGAACATGAGTATAGAAGGTTATATGGTGATGAAAGATACACGCGACTATGTTGGCTTCCTTACATCATATGTAAAATCCATATCAGACCACGCATTGAAAATTCAAGATTCAAGATTCAAGATTGGAATTTGACTAATCAGAGCAAAAGAAACTAAAATTTCTTTGTCCTGATTGGTCAAATTTCAATTTTCAATCTTCAATTTCAATCTTCAATGCATAGTCTGATACGGGCTTAAGGACTAATCAAATGTCTAATATAAAGGATGCATGCTCCTCATATCAGACGCATGATTGATTGATTCTTTTATATTCTATATATAAATTGTTTTATTTAAACCCCCCAAAAGTCAAATTATGCAATGTATATCATTTTTAATTTTACACTTCAGAAGATTGACTTTCAAAAAGCTAAATAATTAAATAAATAATGATATTGAGCGAAAAAAGATCTCAGATTTTTCAAATTACGCGAGTATCCGTATCTGCCTGTCTTTAATTCTATAATAGTACATATCTTTCGTCGGTAACTGTGTGTGTGTGTGTGAACCTGTGAACTACAGAAGAGTGTAGAAAACGCAACGATGGGGAAGGCGGGGGGGATACTAACTAGGCACTTCAGAAGATTGACTTTCAAAAAGCTAAATAATTAAATAAATAATGATATTGAGCGAAAAAAGATCTCAGATTTTTCAAATTACGCGAGTATCCGTATCTGCCTGTCTTTAATTCTATAATAGTACATATCTTTCGTCGGTAACTGTGTGTGTATGTGTGAACCTGTGAACTACAGAAGAGTGTAGAAAACGCAACGAGGGGGAAGGCGGGGGGGGATACTAACTAGGCACTTCTTGTTCCGTTTTTATTATCAGCACGCCATATATGTATGAATGAAGGATTACGTTTACGTTACACACACAGCTGATTAGTCAATCGAACATTTGTAATGCTAAGTTGGACTATATATCATTTATAGCTGATTCACTCATTTCTTAGTCCACGCAATCGCCAAAATAGACGTCTGCCAATCGCATTCGAAGCACGCATCTATTTTTTTCTCCACTTTTACGATCGTGTAGAAATTTCGAGCGTGCTCCGATCGATGCGGATATGAACATTGACGTTGCTCGTGTTTACGTTGTACTGTGTTCTGTCTCCCGCGCAAAAATCTAACAGTTTTCGAGGAGGTTAAGGAACGTAGTTTTGTCGTCTCTTCAGGGACGCTATAACATTTATTATCGTATCCCGGATGAACGTGAGCGTGTGATTATGGCGATAATAAAGGTTACATTCCCATCGGACGGTCCACCCGGGAAAATATTGAAATGGAGAGTACGTTTGGATACGATGGTCGCGGCGGGTAGAATATTGTTGCTGTATCAAAATACAATGCCGGGCATCGAGAACGAGGATGCTAAGGAACCCGAGAGAAAACTGCGAGCCACAAATTTCGGCCGCGTCAAGCAAATCCTCGTCAAGGAGGGTGACATTATTCAACCTGGGTATGATATATATATGTTGTCACCTTACACTCGAAAATTTATAGAATTCATATATCTAAGCATTTCGAAATAAAAGACAACAAATATATTTTACATGATTTACGTTTAAGTTACTGTTTTTAAAATAAGGATTTAAAAAATGTAATAAATTACATTGTAAAACTACAATTTTCAATGTATATCAAGTAAACAAAAATATTTATATCTTTTCGTTTACTCAAAATGTAAATATACTTGCATTTTGCGATATCTGCATAGTTTGTTAGTGTTCCAGGGAAGAGATAGCTCTACTGGAAGGATGTACACATCCTACTGTGATGATAGATTTGTGTGCAGAATGTGGAGCAGATTTGAGGGTGCAAGAAACTGGGAAAGATGGAAATACAGCTGGAATATCGCAAGCCAGTGTGCCTATGATACACAGCGTACCAGAGCTGAAAGTATGTCCCGAATTAGCTGAGAAAATTGGGAAAGAGGATGAGCAACGTCTTTTAAAGGATCGAAAATTAGTATTACTTGTGGATCTTGATCAAACGATTGTTCATACCACAAATGATAATATTCCACCTAATTTAAAAGTAAATGGACATTTTATTGTATTGATATAAATCTTTATATGATATAAAATATCTTCAAAATTATTGCAAATTGAATACGTTTTTTTTTGTTTTAGGATGTTTTCCATTTTCAATTATATGGACCAAATTCCCCATGGTATCACACCAGATTCAGACCAAATACTCAACATTTCCTCTTGGAGATGAGTCGTTTGTACGAGTTACATATTTGCACCTTTGGAGCAAGGATTTATGCACATACTGTTGCATCATTGCTAGATAAAGATGGAGTTCTGTTCTCTCACAGAATACTTTCTAGAGACGAATGTTTTGATCCAGCATCAAAAACTGCAAATCTCAAGTAAGTTTATAAATTACTCTTACATATATCTTATTGTGCATAATTTTATTAAATTTATAGAGATAGAGTTTCATTTTCTTTATTGTGTTTTATTTATTGTAGAGCTCTGTTTCCATGTGGCGATGATTTAGTATGTATCATAGATGATAGGGAAGATGTGTGGCAAGGATGTGGAAATCTGGTTCAGGTTAAACCCTATCACTTTTTCCGTCACACTGGTGATATTAATGCACCACCTGGATTGGAAAAAGGTGACGTACTGCATTCATCTGAGCCTACAAATATAAATGAATCAAATGTAAATGATTCACAAAATAAGGATAACAAGAATGGAATATCTGAATCATTAAGTGAAGTCGGACAATTGTCGTCGGACAATCCCTCAGTGAAAGAAACAAATCATGAAAATGAGAAAGATGAGAAAATTGAGAATAAAATAAAAGAAACAAAGAACGGAGATGCCAAAGTGAGCATTGAAAAAGATGCAGATTCCAATGTCCAATCTAATCTTGTAAAAGAAGATGATAAAATAAATAAAGAAGATGTGGAAGCTGCATTACCTGTAGAAACAGAGAAGGATAATAAGCAAGAGGCGTCAAAGCAGGAAAGTAATATAATAGACGAAGATGATGATGATTATCTATTATATCTAGAAGATATTCTTCGAAGAATTCATACCGAATTTTATGCTACATTGGATCAAGGAAATGGTCGAAAATCTCTCCGGGATATAATTCCACGGGTGCGTTCTCAAGTGTTAAAAGGATTGTATTTAACTTTTAGTGGTTTGATACCCACTCATCAAAAGCTTCACCAAAGCCGCGTATATAAAGTCGCGAGAGCGTTTGGAGCGGAAGTAACTCAAGTAAGGAAATTTATTTTATTTGCTTTTTTTTATCATATTTTATTGTATTTCTGTAAACAAGGATACAATTTTGCCAGGATTTGACGGAGAAAACCACACATTTAGTTGCTATTAGAAAAGGTACAGCCAAAGCGAACGCAGCTAGAAAAGTTGCAAACATAAAAATCGTAAATCCAGAGTGGTTGTGGACGTGCGCGGAACGCTGGGAGCGTGTGGACGAACGTCTATTTCCTCTCACATCACAGGTATAGATATCATAATTTTATAATATTGAATTAAATCATCTTTGTATTTTTCAAGATTGCTGTTTGAAATCTATACGTTGTCTCAACATTAATAATAAACATGAAGTATTGTAGGCCCGCGGATCAAGAGTACCACCACCACACTGTAGTAGCCCGGAACGTGTCGAAGATTTAGAAAGCGATAACGCAAATTCCTTCGCTAATTCTATCAATCCATTAATGTCATTTACTCAAGAGGAAATCGATATTATGGATAAGGAAGTAGACGAGGATATGGAAGAACAAGACATGGTTTTTGAAGAAGCGGATGACGCGGAAGAATATGAAACAAATATACGTTATCGGAGTTCCGATTCTGAGGATTCTATAAATGGTAAAGACGTTATATTATTTCTTGACAGAACTCTATGTGTATAATTTTACGTGTTGTGTAATTCAGAAAATATAAGAAACATTATATATACAATATAAATACATATTAGAAAGAAAATATATATTTAAAATTATAAATAAATATTCTACATTTTTTCGTAAATTATATATATATATAAATCATTAAAGATATGTTTTAATTTGCAAAAAAGTGCATAATTTTTGAATGTGTTTACTCTCGTAAAATTGAATGATGTTTTTCTCATGTTATTAATGCAGGTGAATCAGATGTATCAAAAAGAAAGAGGAGAAAGGTTTACAATGGCAACTCTGATAAAAGTTCTTCAGATGATAAAGATGAAAATTGTGACAGTGATAATGATCATGATGATGACGATAGTGACGATGATGATGATCCTATTACATGTTTTAGAAGAGGGCAAGATTTGCCTGATGATTTAGATCTTGGTGATAATTCACAGGATTCAATAGACGACCTTGAAGCAGATAATGAAGATGATCGAGAATGGAACGCGATGGGTGCTGCGCTTGAAAGAGAGTTTCTTTCTGAATGATAGGTTTGAATATTAGTATTCTGATTATTGGATGATTCTCTCAGGATGTCTTGTTTTATTTATAAATTTCAAGTTCGATAGTTGAAGCAGGGTTATTGATAATAATAAATGTTATTGATTATAATAAATTATTTGTGTACTCTGATAGTCAGAGCAAGATATAAAAACATTAAACGTTTGAAGAAAGTAAGCTAAAATGACTAATTTATATATAAAACAAAAATATATGAAAATAGAGAGATTCTTTTTCTCTTTATAAACAATTGAACAATTTCTATATATTAAGCTTTCTCAACTTATACATATATATACAAAGACATACATGACATCAGTCATATCCTTACACAAGGGGCAAGAATAAGTTTCAAAAATAAGAAGTAATTATTCTTCGAAAAAAAGTGATTTATATAAATGGCAATTGTCATAACATTGTAAATAATGTCATTGAATATATTTGTGAGATATTTTCTTATGTAAAAAGGATATGTCAAAAACTGGTTTTATTGTAACGAAAAAAAAAATACTAGGGAATAAAATTTATTTTCTCTAATGTTTTTAGAGCTATTATATTAATATTGATAAGTAAACTTTTTCTATCAAA